GTACAACTACGAGTTTTGTAGGTCGTTGATGAGTGACTCTCTTGCCACTTCTTCACAATTGTTTTCGTTTGATTGGCACCTTTGTCTAATGAAGGCAAAACATCGGGACTCTTATATTTCCGGAGCAATACCCTTGCTACTTTGTTGTATGGATGATAACTTTTTGTCTATGGTATGCTTAACAAGCCGCTGGAATGCTTAGTAACTATGTTATGGGTTATTTTTGTTTGTATAATTAAACGCCATTTATAATCCGTACCTAGTCAATTTTCCTGCGAAACCTATTAATTGCACTCGCAATTAATAAATAGAATAAATTAGAGAGCACAATTCAATCAAGTAAAATCAGACTTACACTAAATACGTTTTCCAGATTCGTCGTTGCTCCAAGGTAGTCCAAGTGGTTTTCGTTTAACTCAACTTTATTCTAAACCGATAGGATTACTTCATACTGCATACCTGAAGATCTCTGAGTTGGGCGTCCGTAAAGATTCCCTATAAAGTCAAATTTATGATAAGATTCAACTCAAGAATACCCTTGATTCTGATCTGAAGAGTTCTTCGGCCAAGTACTCCTGATAGTCCATTTCCTGCTGAAGAGCTCGATTGGTATCTCCGATGTGCTCCATTCCGATGCCTTTCTGTATAAAGTAAAAATATTGAGAATGTGAATACGAGTTGTTTTGTGACCCTCAGATTCGTTATCAACACAATGTCACCCGCTTGTTTCTTGCCTATGCAGGTTATTAAAAAATTTAAGGTGCAGCGGATCATTATGTAGCGAAGGCCATTTCGCTTTTTTACCCAAAGCATTCAAGCTGGTTACGAAACCGGTTACAACTGCGTGGCTTTTGATGTATAGATTACCTTACTCGCTTTGTACAATCAGTCAAAGGCAGGAAAAGATATTCTACGAGTGTGAGATGTTGCAGCGTTTATAAAACTTTGGGCTGTAGATAAACTTTGTAGGCACACACACATTTGAGTTTTGATAAAAAAAAGTTCTGCTGCCAAACCACGTCACTAAAGTGAGCATTAATCAATGGAGCTCTTTTCTAGGAGAAATAATTACACACAAAATAATCGATACACGAACTATAAAGCATTAAAAGCTGGTAAAACCAAATTCCACGGACGTCCTTTTAGCAAAAAATCCCTTTTACTCGGATAATTTGTTTTTTTGCTCCTATCGGACCACAGGTGAATGGCTGGCAGAGGCGTCTTGTTGAGAAGACGTTCCCTAAAAGGAAAACTTACTTAAGCTAATGACCAGGAGTAAATTAGAATTCACGGTCTACCAGCATCTGACAAGCCTGCAATAGCATTTTCGAAAAATTAGGTTAGAACATAGCTGATTTCAGGGCTTCATTATATTTTGTGAATAATGCAGCACTTGCCCTCAAGCTAATTTTCTTTAGGAGGTGTTACTAAACTGACGTTATGAGATGGTTTCTTGTGTTATAAAGAACACTCTCCTGTCTCGGTATTATTTGTTTCTTAGATAGCCTGGCTGCGCACGACAGGGAACAAAGAGAGAGGTCACATTTCCATTTATGCTGATGAGGGTCTAGCCTTCTTATCTGTCTGTCTGATTTAAATCTTTCTTCTGCAGACAGTTTACTTTAGAACTCATTGGTTTATTTATTTCTCTCTTTTCTTCATACTTTTGAAAAATATTGCGAGTAGTCTTAATTTTCGTAGGAATTAACTTGTTTAGGGCGAGGAGTCTGTTGTCACAACACCTACTATCGACTCAATTGTGAACAAATAAGAAAACTCGACCTTAGGTACCATACTCCTCAGCGATTAACGTTTTTACAGCCTTTGCGTAGGACTCTTAGAGGTATAGAGAGTGCTTTGTAAGATCACACAGTACTGTTTCAATCGGATATGAGTATATTTTCCTTCAAAAGGTGCACTCAGTTGATGACAACTGGGAAACATATCATGTTTTATCGGTATACGTTCCAATATCTATTCCCAAAACTACTATAAACAAATGATTATTTCCCCAATCCGAAGGCCCTCTCTGGTGTTTTGGAGAGGGTGGTACGCAAATGAAGCAAATGGGGCCCTATCCATCTGCACGGCCTTTATGATTTGTAAAGTCAAATGTCAACAGGTAGGCCATACATGAGTCAAGAAAATGTTACTGCAATAAACTTTAGCGGTGGTCAAGCTTTGCTTAAAAATGTAAGTTAAAATGATAGTTGGATTTAAAGTTACCAAATGCTTTGCTGTATAGCTGCTATTATTATAACGTACACGGCTTTATTTTTAACTAATCCCAAAAGGGTTTACTGCCTGCTTAAACACGTTTAGAAGTTAAGATGGGCAGCCGAAATGAACAGTTTTCTGAGATGTCGAGCACTCATAGAAAAACAACTGGGCCATATTCTGTCCCTAGAAAAGACGTTGTCTGCCATGCCAATTCTCAATCTCCGAGACTCAATCGCCGAGACGGTTTGTTTTTCTTTTGTGCTTAGGTTGTGCATGTCAATGATTGCTCTAACCACAGGTTTGTAGAGACGCCGTGCACCTAATTTATGCACGGATGACGATGCAAATAAACATCGACAGCGCTATTGTGACTGGAAAATCTATTTTGCTACGACAATCAACTTTGCCTTCCAAATAAGGACCGTGTCCACATAATGTTGCAGAGACTGCTCCTGCATTGAGTCTATTCGTCTACCGGTAGAAAACAGGATATGTAGCGGATATAACTCTTAAAATATAAGGCAAATTGTGAAACCAGGGCCTGTGAAATAGAATTCCTGTCAGGGAAATTATACTGGCATACATAAGGAAACAATCTTCTATACATTCCCCGGATTTTCGCTAACCTCTTTGGACGATGATGCACTTCTAAGTGACAGAAGCCCTAATTATCCAGTGAACAAAACAACGACAACATGTCGTCTCTGTTAGGATGATGTACAGTCACTCGATTTTACATTTTAAGACAGCTCCTTTGATGCAGGCAGTATTCACTCACGTATTAACAGCATCGCATAAAAAAGATGATGCTCTTTTTAAAGTGTATTCTGCGTTTAGTAATGTGCTATGTTTGTTGATCAATTTTTCTCTGCATACCAAAAGGTTACAGGTGAATAAAACCAAGCAGGAACGGCAAATGAGCCTAGGGGATTGGGATTCAATTTCTGCGATATGTTTCAGAAAGCATAATATCAGCTAATTTAGGCATTTAATGGCTTACTTTTAAATTTTACGAGTGTGTAGGCGTATCAGTGAGGGTATTTTCAGAACAGATATTATTGCCGAATGATTATCTGTAACTGTGCACAGGTATTCTCCAACTAATTGAAAAATATAAGCATATTTATTGGAAAATAAACAAAATGCATCGAATCGATTTTCTCCTTCGAGTCGTACCAGAAACCTACCAAATGTTCTATACTAGTAGATCTGAATAAAAAATGAACAGTGTGCTTAAGAGGTTGGGTCACACTTTACCAACACATGGCGGGCTTTGTGCGGACTGAAATAAACCAGACCATTTTGGTCTTCGTGTATATAGTAAATGATTTAATTCATGAAATGTAGCCTATGTTTGGTCTTGCTATTTTGACCTGTTGACTAAATTTGAGGCCCCGAAATCCCTTTTCTAAAGACCAATGCACTTTAATTCTTGATTGTTGAACGGAAACAGGCAGTATTTGGATAAACAATATGCTTTCCATCCTATTTACTATTACAGACAATGTAGTAACGGACCTAAAAACAACAAATTCTCATAAAATTGTGTCCGATTATCTGCTCGAACGTTCCCTTGTTTTTAACGGCCACATTATGCATCGCACTTAATCTGAAAGGATAATTCTGTGCGAAATTCACAAAATGACTTTTTTGAACGTAAGTCTACCCTTGTTGCTTTATGCACTCGTGTTTCGCATGACAGACTTTCTGTAGACTGTAAACTCGAGTTTACACAATTACATCGATTTCTCACGTTTTCGGAATTTGCCGCTCTGTTAAGGAAAGTTTTCTAATCAACCAGAATACGCCTTCTGTTTAAGAAAAGTCGTTCGTTTGCTGTTGTAAGACATTGGGTGGCGTAGCTTAGTCTTATTTTATGTAACAGGGATTTTATCATTAAATTTGTGAGATATCCTAAGTTAGGGAATCTACTGTGTGTGGGGGCGTTGGTCACGTGCGAATACACAAAGACATGGCAAGCGAAACCAGGATGAGTCAGCGCAGCGGGATCCCACAGTCTGTCTGAGTCACACATGTAAAAAATCGAGTCTATCCTTGAGCAGTATAAATTGTTACATCGGCAGCCATATAGTTTATTAGTAATAAGTATTTACTTAATACCTCTTAACTTTGACTGAGAGGTATTTCGCAAGCAAAAACAAAGATTTTTCTTTGTAGAAGACATTTACGGAAACTATTAAAACATCACTTTCTTCATTTAAAAAACACGAATGTATACTTTCAGGAAGCACATCGGGACTCCAGACTGGCAAGCTGAATTAAAAGAATCGAACAGGTCGATATACGTTTCCGCTCGATGCAGGAATCCAAACCAACTACAAGAGATTATTTCTAAAAAACTAAAAGTGGCTTAAAGTAAGCAATAGCAACTTTTAAACGGTTTTCTTTGAATTATCATAATTAATAAGCCTTTCGCATAATATGTTATCTGACGAAATGCGTCGAACGGAAGCTGTTCAAACACTGGGAGATTGGACGACTCTTCAGACAGTCAAGTACATGAAAACGATAATTGCTCACCATGCAGTATCGTCAATAGTACCGAACCGTCCCACAAATGATTGTAAGGTTATTTTCTAGAGAATACGCAACTGCATTTAACCCTCGGTGGTTATGGTTCTGCTCATTTTTCTGTTGTTCTTTTCGTGGATGCACTGCTGTCACCGGTAGGAGTTTTCGCCAAATTTAGGTTTTACAAATCAAATTGTGCCATATTCAATGTCTTTGTTCTGCGGTCAGGGCTTATTTTACTTCTTCCCATTTATGATTGCATACGGTGTACAACGTAGGCAGAAGACGCCTAATACCCCTGACACAAATTCCTTTACAAACTGCAATTTTTCTATTGATGTTAACGGTTTCGCACGACTCAGCACAAAGTGACATCCAGTCAGAATCGATTCACCCAAAGGAATTTGTCATTATCTCGACAGGCTTTTTATGTTTAAGGAGGTCTTCTTTTCTTACAGCAAACAATGAGGAAAAATGTTGTACCATTGTTTTCTATAATAAGGTGTCCCTTTTAAAAGTACTACATGAAGTCATAGTTTTCTTCTTTATCAACTATCAGAGGTTTTAAGACCACCTACAGCGTGATCTTTCCTTCTTATTTCTAACTGGAAATACAGATGGTTAAGACATTTTTGCACTACTCAGTACGTTCAATTATATTTCTTCTCAAAAGCATCCGATGTGTCACAAAGGCCTGCAAATAATTCAAAAAGCAGCAGTGGATTTATCGGTAAGGAATGCTTATCTAAGTAAAATTACTCCAAGTAGTCTACAGCCTATGTTCAAAGAGGTGCGTCTTCCAGTAAACGACAAAAAAACCGTTTCCATCACTGTTGCACAGTAACGAAAAATATTTTTAGGCCTTCGGTTATTAATCTGAGAGAAAATTAATCGTTGTTCTCAACAAAAACCCTTCAGGAAAGATCAAATTTTGCGACCTAAGCTCATAGATAACATTATCCAGAGGCATTTTTGGGAAGATATGTTTATGGGTATCCCATATTGTTATAAAAAGAGTTTTCAATCTATAAGGCTGAAGCAAATCCATTCGTCCTCTGGCG